AAAAAAAAAAAAAGAGAAGAAGACCTACGCCGGCTCGGATCCCCCTTTCTTCGGTGGGTTTCCGCTTCTGTAGATATTCTTATAATTTCTCTGAACTTTTTTTTTCTGTAAAATAAAAAGGACTATTTTGTTATGAAAAGATAATGGAAGGATAAGTTAAAGTATTGAAAGGATTTGTTGGTGTAGATACGTTTTGTATATTTATTTTATAAAAAATTTATACGCATGTTATCAGAATTATAAATATTTTTTAATTTAATATTTATCTTAAAAATATAATTTATGAAATTCACATATTAAAATTTCACTTATTTAAATTATTGATATATATTGTTGCATCCAGGAGTATTCACGGCGGTAGAGAAATACAATATTTAGCATCTTAGTATTGTATGAAAATCCGACATGCAATCAGATGAGAGAGAGAGAGAGGGTGTAGCATTTATGAGAGACACTAATATTTTTACGTAAAAAATCTCTGTAAAGGGGGAAAAACCACGGGGCCTAGTCCAGTTTGAATGAATCCACTATTATTTGCAGTTGATTACAATTGAGGCCATTTCTTAGGGGAAGGCCTTGACTTAAAGTACATTATATGAAGTACATAATAAAAATACAAAGAGTCAATGTTGACGTGTTTTTCCGGTCGGAAGGACCGTAGTCGATGGGTGACGTAAGTCGGTAGAACCATAGTCGGCGGGCGACGGAGGTCGGAAGGACTGTAGTCGGTGGGCAACGTAAGTCAGAAGGACCGCAGTCGGCGTGCGACGGAGGTCGGAAGGAATGTAGTCGGTGGGCGATGTAAGTCAGAATGATCGTAGTCGGTGGGCGACGGAGGTCGGAAGGACTGTAGTAGGTGGGAGACATAAGTCAGAAGGACAATAGTCGATGGGCAATAGAGGTCGGAAGGACCGTAGTCGGCAGGCGACGAAGGTCGGAAGGACTGTAGTCAGTGGATGATGTAAGTTAGGAGGACCGTAGTCGGCGGGCGACGGAGATCGGAAGGATTGTAGTCGGTGGACGACGTAAGTTAGAAGAACCGTAGTCGGCAGGCAACGGAGGTCGAAAGGACTGTAGTCGGTGGACGACGTAAGTTAAGAGGACTGTAGTCGGCGGGCGACGGAGGTCGGAAAGACCGTTGTCTAACAACGGAGGTTAGAAGGACGACGTCAGACATAAGTCC